CACTTAGAGACAAGGCGGGGAGTTTCATTTTGAGTTTAAAATAAAAAAAGAGGACAAGATTGACAACACGAAATGTGAATATTGAGCCCTGGCCAGAAGGCTCATAAAAAGTAAGCACTCCTTCTGCCTTCTGCTGCTTCTGCTTCCCTTTCATATTAAACCAGCTCTCTTTCTTATTGCTCAACCCGTTTGGCCAGTGGGTGATGATGAGCACTCCGAAATGGTGCTGCTGTCCTTCCTGGCAGTTCCCACTCAGCTCCCTTTCCTCTGTAGCATCTGCTGAAACACACTTCCTTCCATGAAGACTTGGATTTGTAGGATCAGGGCCCTGGGATTGAGTCTATTTGGCCCAAATTTGACACTGTGGTGACATCTTAATGAGACTGTTCATTGTAAATCTTTATTTCCAGAACCAATTAAAACCTATTTCTGTTAGCATTCGCTGGGACTACTCATATTGGGAACTAAATGGTGAGGGATATTTTTAAAAAGATTCATTGTGCTTATGTGTGTGTGCATGCATATGTATGTGTATGAGTATATGTGTGCATGTGTGTGTGTGTGTGTGTGTGTGTGTGTGTGTGTGTATAAGTATCCGTTCCCCCAGAGTTGGGGTTCCAGGCAGTTGTGAACGTCCTACCGTATTGGGAAACAAACTCCAGTTTTTCTGAAAGAGTAGCAAATTCTTTTAACCATTGGGCCATTTCCCCAGTCCCTGCTTTTGAAGGCTCATTCAAAGGTTGCAGTTTTTTGTTGTGTTTGATTCACTGCAAACAATGCAGAGGAAAGGATCATTCTTCAAGGTAGATATACTAGTGTTAGGGATGAGGGAAGAGGGCAAAAGAGTCATTAGGTTCCTCGTTTCTCACCTCCCTTATCCAGAGCTAACCCTTTTCTACATCCCACAGGGTACAAATGCCTTCACTTGATTAATACCCACCGGTGACCTGGGAATGTTGGGATGCAAACACCGTACATGCTGCATCAGTTGATAGAGGTGACGTGGAAGCCGGAGAATCCATCCAAGCCAGGCCTAGTCTTGCATCTCTCTTCATCGGCCCCTGGCTTCCCCAGCTGGATGTGTTGAAGTTCTCAACTGTCTCCCTCTCCAGCCTAGGACAGCCCAAGTGATGGTAGGCAAGGAGCCTACCATGGGAAGATTTGGCCCCCCAGGTGCTGCTCTGAGCACCTAGGCAATCCTTAGTGGTGATGTTTGGCTAGACTGAGGTTTTCCTCCTGCCTGTTTTTTTTTCCCCAAGGCCTTTCCACTCTCCATTTATTTCTCCAGTGGATTTGGGCCTCTCCTCTGAACCCCAGATGATTAATATGGCCACAATCCCGGCCCTACTCTTGCTGCCTCGAGGCCCCCAGAGAGGACACTGACCCTGAGACAATCAAGACTTAACTCTCACTTTGAGGGCAGGCCCACTTTATCACGTGCCTCTGATAACCAAGCAAGCACGTGCGAGCCATTCTTAACCCACACTGAAGGGACAAAGACTACATTGTGTTTGAAGTCCTTGAAGACACGAGGGTCAAATATGCAGGATCCTTGATGAGAATACAGATGCAGGTGTGGGGCATAGCGTGGTGATGTGTCTAATCTACATAATTTCCTCTATTTCTGTCAGTAGGTAATAACTGAAGCTTATGAATAAAGAATGTTCTGGAGGTTTCGAGAGGATAATGCAGTATTTCAGATATGACCTCTACGTTAGGGGGGTGTGGGAAGAGGAAGTCAAGGGTCATGCCAGATGGACAGAGAGGGGATGAGAAACATATCAGTTGGTGACAGCACCACTCCCAGGTTCTCAGGCTACCCAAACTTCTGATGAATTAGCTACAAATCCACAGGGGGAAGGGGAGGCCTCCATCACTGCCCCAGCGGATATCATTCGATATGATGACCAATGACTCTGGAAGTTCAGGAAACTGCAATACTACCGTGGTAGTCTCATCACAAAAAGTTCAGATCAGAACCAAATCAATGATAAAACTCGTACAGTGAAATTGATATTAGAAGACAGAGGTGCCTTTGAGACTGACCAAGCCTTTCTGGCTCTTAGGTGGCTTAACTCAGGGTACTCAGTACCTGAAACTCAACAGCCACCAAAGCCACCTTGAGCCGGGCTTTTGGGTTCATGCCCTTCAGATTCAAAGAATGAGGTTGACAGACCCTGGAGGATGAATATCAGAAGTAAGTATTTTTTGTGGGGAGCTTAAGAGTACGAAGATGGAAGAACTCGTGAACAGCAGGAGGGCCCTCGGGGAGTGGGGTACCACTGAGTTACTAAGGACTCGTGGCAGAAACTGGGGTGAAGTATGGGGAAGGGTGAGTTTCTCAGTCCAGTTGGCCCATTCAGGTGTACAGAAAGCAGCTCCTCTCTGCTTTGATCACTCGGTCACATGATTAGGCAGAGGACTTGTTTAGTGACTAACAAACACACAGCAAAGAGAGCCCTTCTGCGTCTCACATTGAAAGCCTTCGGTTGCTTTGGGGTCCCTGCCCTACAAAATCTAGAAGAGAACCAAATGCAAAGGTTTAGTATCTTCAGGCTACATGGAGTTGATTGATTGGTCACCAAGGAGTGACTCTATTTGAAAAGATTAGGAGGTGTGGCCTTGTTGGAGGAAGTGTGTCACTGGGGGATGGGCTTTGAGGTTTCAGAAGCCCAAGCCAGGCCCGGTGACTCTTGCTCTTCCTGCTGCCTGCAGATCTGGATGTAGAACTCTCAGCTACCTCTCCAGCATCATGTCTGCCTGCATGCCACCATGCTTTCCCACCGTGGTGACAACAGACTAAACTTCCAAAACTGTAAGCCATCCCCAATTAAATGCTTTCTTTTATAAGAATTGTAGTGGTCATGGTGTCTCTTTACAACAAAAGAACACTGACCAAGACAATGTGTCTTGGTATCCAGAGTTTTTAAGTGGGGTTACTACGCAGGTGTGATTGGTTGGATCTTTAACCACACAGTTACTCTCAATGTGCGACTGTCCCACCTCCCTAACCTTACCATTGGTCTCTCTGGCATGGCCAGCCTCCCTGCTGATGCTGCCTAGAGTTTACTCCCGTCATGAGCACAGATTCAGGTGTGGTCTGAAGGACCCCTATAAATCCAGAGACACTCCTATCATGCAGGAAATTATAAAGGCTTATGCTGCCTCCAAGGAACCTAGGCAAAGATCAGACAAATTCTTCCTTCTAGACTGCCTGCCTTTGTCCCTTCATTAAAAAAGCTGGCCAGCCTGGGAAGCAATCCTTCAGTCTCAACCATCTGCTCAGCTCCCTAATTGCTTCCAAGTGAGCTTCCTTTTATAAAACTGGAATTGAGACTTAAGACAGGGGCAAAGTCACATTTTGTTTTGCAAATTTGCTCCGCCATGAGGTTTTCGTCTTGTTCAAACTCCCCAAGGCGTTTAGAATGTAATAACAGCCCCACTTTCCCGGAGCTTCCTGTGAACCAGCCCTGCACATGGAGCTCAGGGCACCGTGGGCAGCTGGCCAGGTCCGGCCTCAACCCAGCTGCTTCTCAGTCGAGACACCTTGCAAAGCTGTCCAGAGTGGGTGGCCCTGGCTGGATATTTTTGCAACCTCATCCCTGTAAAGATTTGCAGCACCTTAACTCTGTAGGGTCTGTACCATTCTCGTGCCTTCTTCAGTCCTTTTGCTGGCCAACTGGGTGGGTCAGTGGCTTCTTTCTTGTCCTGGGCTTAACTTGGGGGGCCCAGACAACCTCATAGGTGCAGAATTTGATGTTTGAATTATTTAAAAAATAGTTGTTGATTTTACACGTGTACAATGTATTTTCTCATAGGCATCTCTCCATTTCCGTCTCTAATTCCTCTCCCCACCCCCATCTCTCTCTCTCTCTCTCTCTCTCTCTCTCTCACACACACACACACACACACCAAGTTCTTCTGTTTGTTTTAACTTTCTGTTGAGTCCATTTAATGCTGCCTGTACTTGCACAGAGGTGGAGCAATCCGCTGGATTGTGGACAACCAACCAGTGGCCACACTGCCCCCACAAAGGGACTTTTCTTACCCCAGCAGCTACCAACTTCCAGTAGCCCCTTGCCTAGGGAAAGGGATTGATTCATGCTGTGATTTGAGCAGCTTGATCTTGTGCAAGAGACAGTAGCTGTCGTGAGCCCGTGAGCGTGATGGCCACGCCACATCTGGAAGAAAGAGTTTGATAGCGCTCAGAGTGTTCCATCTTCTTATCCCTTCTTGCTCAGTGTCCCCTGAGCCTTGTAACAGTCATGCAGCATGCCGGGGCCAGCTCTGGGTAAGGCCACTTAGGTCTTTTCTCATCCATTCCTATGCGTAGTGTTCTCTGAAACTACGAAAGCTAGCCAGTAGTAAGTACGGTTTCCAGTCAGGTTGAAATTACTTTCTCAATGTCAGGTACAGGTCTTCAAGTTCTTTGGGAAGAATAGTAGTCACTGCTTGATTGCTCTGAGGAGACACCACGAGCATGGCCACTCTTAGAAAAGAAAGTGTTTAATCGGGGGTGGGTATACTGGCTTACAGTCTCAGATGCTCAGTCCATTGTTAGCACGGCAGGAAGCATGGCAGCAGGCACAGCAGGAGATGCAGTTTAGAGTTCTACATCCTGATCCACAGGCCCAGAACACTGAGTTTAGCATGGGCTTTTGTTTTTTTTTTAAATATTTATTTATTTATTTATTATGTATACAATATTTTGTCTGTGTGTCTGTCTGCAGGCCAGAAGAGGGCATCAGATATCAGTTCAGATGGTTGTGAGCCACCATGTGGTTGCTGGGAATTGAACTCAGGACCTTTGGAAGAGCAGGCAATGCTCTTAACCACTGAGCCATCTCTCCAGCCCTAGCATGGGCTTTTGAAACCTCAAGGTGACATGCTTCCTCTAACAAGGCCACACCTCATAGTCCTTCCAAATAGTGCTAATCCCTGGTGACTACAGTTGAAGTCTATGAGTCTAGGTGGGGGGCCCTTCTTATTCCAACCACAGCAGGCAACTAGTCACGGCCAACATGGGAAGTAGATGGGGGCATCCCCTATATCCCCATCCCCTGCGCTAGAGTCTAAGCCATGGGATTTCAGCAACCCAAGTCCCTCACATTTGCCAGGGTCTGTTGACATTGCTGGATGCTGGACAAATTGCTTTCTGTGTGTGTAGGACCCAGCCACGACTAGCTCAAGAGAGGCCTGAGTCTCAGGAGTTTACCCTGGTTCCAAGAAAGACCACAAACTGAGACTACCTAGGCACCACCCAGGCCCAGACCATCCAAAGGAAATTCCTAATGTTCCAAGCATTGTAGATAGGATCACCTGACAGCACAACACTCATTTTTTCATCAAGACACCCCTAGACAAACGTCAACCAGTCAAGCAAGGATCATGAACCTTAGAAATCCCTCACCCCCACCTTTGCTACTACAAATATCCAACCCCAACTGAACTTGGGGCTCTCTGACCATTCCAATACGATGGGCACACGGAGAGTCCGAGTTTGCAAACGTGTATAAGAATAAAGGCTCTTTGCTTTTACATACAGGACTTGGTCTCGTAGTTGGTTTTGGGGGGACTCTGCGATCTGGGCAAAACATGTTTTAGTGTCTGTAAAATCAGGATTGCAATAGCATGGATGTTCTGTAAATCGGGTCACATTTTACTAGTGGCAAAGTTGAAGTTTTAGAGAATTAAAATCATGTATTAAGATCACACATGTATCTGGTAAATGTCTTGGTCATTGTTGGATACCATGTAGCCTGACTCTAAAATCCTTCCATTTAACCCACTCCTCTATCTCCCATTTGCTCAAAAATTACAGTTGATGCATCTTAATGTATATTACATGACTGATATCGCTACAGAGTCAACCTTTCGGAGCAACAAAGTATAGACAAGCATGAAACCCTGGTTGCAGGAGGCAGGAGCTATGTAACAGAGCAGAGCCTATAATACCACTCAGCATCAAGCACACAAACAGCAAGAGAGAAACACTACAATTATTTCTCACCCCAGCACCCGGGGACACCATCTGCCTTTACTCAGAGCACCCCGGAGCTTCGTTCTCTGCGGGCTCCACCTAGCCCAGCAGCCTCTCCTCTTCTCTAGAAATCCCCCGGGAGATGTTTAAACAGCCTGTTCTTCAGGCTCTCTTTTGGAAGACATATATTTCCAAAGGAGTCCCCCGCCAAGCTGGGGTTTGGGAGGACTCACTTAGCAACATGCTGGTGACGGAGTTGGAAGGGAAGACGATCATTCCAGAAGCAGTCTGAAGGCAGTTAGTTTTAGCGGGAGAAACGGCACATTAAGGATAGGAAGGGAAACAGCTGGAATTTAGAGGCCTCTACAAAAACGAGATAAATCACATAGGGCTTGACAGACGGGACTTGGAGCCTGGGGGAAAGCTTCGCGGACGCAGGTACACATTCTAAAGTTCAAGCTTAGCGCTTGGAACGAGCAGGCGGTGGGAGGAAACCCGAACCCATGGCAACCAGAAAGTCACGCCAGGCAGCTCTCGGCGGGAACTATTCCAACTGTGCCAGTGTCAAGGATGTTAACGGTGGGTTTCAAAATTGACTGCCCAAGGACATACAGAGACACTTTAATTATAATTCTGAAATAGGTAGGGAATGATGGAACGGACCTTCTCGGTGGCTTGTGGAGGTTTACAGAGCAAAACCATTC